GCTTTGGCTAGTAGTCTTGCGCCTCCTCCGCATGCGCAGCGATCTGAGCTGCAAGTTATAGGGAAGCCACTCTCGTTCATTCTTGACTCGCCCCCTCTCCGCCTTCTTTTGCCAGCTCGATCCATGCCAGAGTACCTTCCCGCAGCGGCGTTCACAGTCGGCACGCCCAGGCCCTCCAACGTGGCGTTCGCGGCGGTCGCGACCTCAGGGTCGTTGGGAAGCGGGATGGGCCTGCCCGCGATGTACAGTCCATGTCTGCCGAGCTCCTCGGAGTTCTGGCGGCTCTCCTGCGCGATCAGGCTGGCGTCTTTTCACGGAGCATCCGAGCTATCGGGCCGAGCCCCCGACATGCATTTTGGCGAGGCTAGGCCCATGACGCTGGCAATGTCGGGCTCGCGGTTCGCCTAGTCATATTCCACTCTTGGTGTTCCATCCCGCAAGCACGAGTTCCTCGATATTACCGCATTCGTCTTGCGCTGTACATATACCTTCCACCCATACTCGCATCTGGCTGCGACCCAGTAGCCCCCACCATCTGCCGAACCAAGCTTGTCATGCTAGTGCCTTGTCTCCTGTAGACTGCGGTTGCAGCGTAATCGATGCGATCAGGCAGCGCCTGGTTCAGCTTGTGTGCCCCTCACAGCTGTTCAGTATGACCACCATCGCATGCTTCCAGTGAGGGACGAATGCGCCTCGCCCGCGGCACCGCCGCCCTGTTGAGGTCGGGCCGTGGTCCAGAGTCCTCTTGGATGCCTCCTGGGATCCCTTGGGAGGCCAGCAGACCTCTTGGAGGCCTCTTCTAGGCATCTTCAGGTCTCCTGTAGGCCTCTGGGGCATCTTGGGGCATCTTGCCGCGGCGGCGGCATGTATAGGTATTTTCTTCGGTGGTCTCTGCATGGCTTCACAGCTCACCGAACGTTTCTGCGTTCCAGTCGGTAACATCTGTTTGTGTCGAAGCTCCTCACCCTCTGAGCAGTATCCGTGCTTCTATCGCGGCGCCTTCTCCGCCCTGTCGTCCCAGGTAAGGTTTCTCTAGGGACAAACTAAAGTCGCACACTCTCCTACTTGCCTGGGCTTTTCTTCGTGACACCCATGTCGCTTCCTTGCCGGAATGCGCTAGCATCCCTTGGAATGCTCTGTAGGTCGAGTTCTCCGATGCCAGCAAGTCATTATCGCCCCACGGATGGGTGTAGGGCATTTGCAACAGTCTCCTGCCGACCAGCAGGGCAATTCCGACCAGCAGGGGAGCTTGCGATACTGGTTTCTTTCTGTCATTGTCCGTATCCTCTGTTGAGCAAGGTCTCATGGTGGCTCAAGGCCGTGGCCGTTCTTGTCCAGCATTTGGACCAGTCTATCTTGGTCGTGTTTTACGTCCAAAACTTTGCGCGACCATTTGAATGCATGAGCTTGGCCACGTCCAGGATCATGAGCTTTACCCTTGTCCGCTGTTCCGTAGGCATGGCAGTCGAAGCATTCGATATGGTACGTGGGTTTTGTTGGCTGCCCGCCAAGCGGTATTGCGCTGTCCACATTGGCCTCACGCTAAATAATTTGCTGTATGTATCCTGCCAGCCCTTCGTCGCATGTGGTGGTGATGCGTGCAAGATTATGCCACTTAGTGCCGATCGTAGGGGTGCTACTGGCAAGTATGGGTATTGGCGGCGGCACCGCCTCCTCTAGTGCCTTGGCCAGCTGTGCAGGTTTGAGGTTGGCTCCAATTCCTCAGCATTTATCTCGGCCCAGATCGAGCTGCGCAAATGGGTCATCGTCGTCGTTGGATGTGCTAGGCGGCGATTCGTTTGAGTTCTCATCGGGTGTCAAGAATGTGCTTCTTCTTTGCTCTTGGCTGCTGCTGGAAGCAGCGTAGGCGTCCACGTCGTGCGTGTCTGTGCTCTTATCCTCAAGTTCCGCTGCCTTTTGCTCAGAGAGCTGTGGCTCATGTCGATGAGGATGGACAACTGCACGGGGCAGTTAAACTTGATTTATCCATCACTGTTCCGCCTCCTTGTAGTCTGATGACCTGTCCGACATCTGGCTTCGATGGTACTTCTGCCTCCTACTGTGGTATCAAGAACTACTGAAGCTGCATGCGGGCTCCAGAGATCGTCGTTGATGATCGACGTGATCGTGTCCTCTTTGGCACAAGTGAACTGGAGAAGCTCTCGACTATCCTGATTGCGAAAGCTCTGTCGTTGAAACATTGGAGTCGCCTTGGACCAACCATGGTTACTACGTTGTCTTCGAGAAGCTGGCGATGCTGCTGAACTTCCGCGCGTTTGCTCCCAGTCGCAGTGACTGTCCGTGGTCGAGGTACACTTTGATGCGTATGATACTGCGCTGCACCATGGGGGCCCAGTTCTGCATGGCGATCGCGCCTTCCTGGCCACTGGCAGCTCATGTCGTAGCATTAAAAACCCAACTGGGCTCCGTGAACTGTTCAATAAAACCACTTGATTGAGCTTGCTTCCGAACTGCCATTCGTTCGCCTCTGTGTGCCCCG